ACTTGGCATTTATTTTGATGGAAAGGTTGTACCTTAAGACGAGTAGAAAAAAATCGCAGTCTGATGGACAATATAAACTTAAAAGGAATCGCTAAGTTCGTATTTGCCACATTACAACCTTCTTGTCAGCGTAGTAGTCCTAGAGGAAGAGGCGTGCTTCACAACACTGTTCCACAGAACTGGGTAGAATTGGTTAATAGCAAAAATAACTAAATACATCCAGGAATAGTCTATCTCTCTATCTACGAGTCGGGCGGAAACGATTTTCAGTGGCAGAAAAACATCTGGAAAGTATGCAGAAATGCAAGAGCATGCAACAAAGCTACGAGCCTTCTAAGAGAAAAAAAAAAAGGGGGGGGGGGTGTATTTAAAAAAAAAAAAAGGCAAAGAAAAAAAAAAAAAAGAAAACGAAGACGGAGACACACGCACAACATCGAAGTCAAAACTGTAACAGGTACGCAAGTGGAGCGTTTGTGTCGGTGCAAACTTTGAGATCCTTAAACGGATCAGTGAAATATGCTATTATGTACACAAGCTGCCTGGCGACGGTCACGCCCGAGCACCACTCGTGGCAGCAGCCTTATCTTCGAGAAGATAGTCACCACTACTTTAGTTGTCACAGAGATGGCGAGAGCGCTGGAACACTGCCACGTTCTGTGTCGTTTACAAAAAGACATGCGCGACCATTACGGGGAAAACACGCTCGATGGATGTTGGCTACCTGCGTCGTGAATTCTGGTCGACAGCAGCCAACAACGCACCCCGGAGAACGAGGAGTCGCTTTTGTGCTTCAGGTGGGCTGTTCAACAAGAACGACAGCTCTAACCGAAGCCCGCACGCAGCCCCCCAAAAATGAGCCATACACGAGCGTGAACCATGCTAACATGCTAAGATATCATCACGCGTAGAAATCGCACATGGACGTATTCTTTAAATCCTAGGGCACAAGCACAAAAGAAGACTGAAAAGACTCGAGGGACAGACGAGGGAAGGCATTTCAATACGCTAGATTAGACTAACGGTCGAGTTCAGCTATGCCAACAACCTTCAACCGACTCTGTCTGCGAATTTGGCGGAAATAGCTTGTTGGTGAATGCCCGAGTCCCACCAGAGCGACAAACGGAAACAACCGACACCGACAAACATCAAGCAAGTGCAGCATGCGCACAAACATATCTTTGGCAGGCTCGCAATACCTCGTGCTTATTTCACGAGCACGTAGAGGCTGCAAGTCTGCTAATGGTACCCTCGCGTACATGCAGCACGTGTTGGAGCTTTTCGTAGTCGGCTGTCTCTGTTTGTAGCTCCAGTGGGACTCGTGAACCGTGCGCTTCAGGCACAGACAAACGAAGCCTATGTTTCCATTTGACAACAAATGCGCTACCGCCATAGGTGTGACAAAGGGTCGCCAACAAGTTGTTTCTGGCCAACTCCGCGTACAGAATTCGTTTAAAGTGTGTGTGATGTGGCGGCTATGAGCACGAACCTTTTCCACTGCCCTCGGGTGCAGCCGACGTGCCTTCTACGCGAACATCGTATCCGATCGAAGCCGCACGTGCACCAACGAGGCTGTAAACATATGTAGCGTAGAAGGCCGCTATATTGAAAACTTCTAAACAGAGAATACGAAAGCATCTGCCAGCAGTCGGTGGTGACAACCGTTAACTCTATACGAAGTTGTTGATCTACAAGCGTTTTCTCTTTTAGATCGCGATTTGTTTGTTGTCTCGGTTTCTTTCGTTTGGAAAGAAGCAAAAACAATATGCGACAAAATCGTAAAAAAAAAGAAAAAGAAACGCACCCACGCTTTACTCTGCGAAAAAAGATGAACAAAACAACCACAACAACAACAACAACAGCGAAACAAATCAACACCCGTCATCTGATTAGCACCTTCCTTAAAATGAACCGTTTGTGAAGAGACAAACATACAACACACCAATGTCATTGAGGCACTATTTACGTGAACATTCCAATCGAATCACCCTAACCTTGTCGTGTCTGTAAGTCGCCTACGTATGCACGCACCATAAACTCTCTTCCGTGTTTGTTTTTTAATGCTTTCTTCTATCATGCCGCCGACATAATTTCCTGTTTCCGTCTCGTGGCTTTGGTATTTCATGCATACCGGACACCCTTGCGCGCCAAGTCAAGCTTGCTTAAAGGTAGAAACAAACCAAAAAATAAATTAGCCTGACGCAGTGATTTCGAAAAGTCTCAAATGCGTTCAGTAAACGGTAAACAGAAAACGGTAAACGGTAAATGGTTAATCGGGTTCACTAGTGCCACTGCATAAGCTACGCTTAGACTATCGGTACTCCCTCCGATTTTCTTGTGGATACCGCCATTTTGGGGCCTAGTGCACGGCAGGCGCAATCGGTTATCGTTTCGATTCAAGAATACGACCTCCTTAAGTTTGGATATGACGTAGGCAGCTCGGGCGATACCGCCTTAGTCTGTCGCGGACCCTTTCGACATTTTTGGAGGCCGGATAACCGTTTCCTGCGATTTCAAATAAAGCTCCAGATAACTGGCAACAACGAGGTAAGCGCCAAGGGTCTAGGTTACAGCCGTTAGCATCTATCCATCCATCTATCGATGGCAGAAGAGTCGTTAGTCTGAAGCATACGCAGTTGCTCTAGGATTCAGCTCAGAAAATTTTGATAGTCTCACGAGAAAGGATGTCTTCTTTTTTCTCTTTCGTGTTTCTTTTTAGTTACTTCTTTGTATTTTACATCGTTTTGTTTCGTGATATGACTGCCCAGTTAAAACGCGCTCTGACAACGGTGAGTATTGGAACGATATGTTCGAATGTAAGAAAACATGCGAAAGTGGCTCCACTGGCGCAACTGGCGCAACTGCGTACTTTGTTGTGGTAAAAGTTAAACGGAAGAGGACTCCTTCAGTAAGTGCTTCGCCCCCTTTGTCCATTGCGATGGACGCGCAACGCGGTCTTTGGATCCAACTGCCGAAGTTAAGACAACTAGAGCGGGAACTGTCCTTTGGAAACAACGGAACGAAGTCCGAAATCTTTTGCGGTCTCCGAGATAGCCTCCTCTATGCTGAAAGACTGACATATCAGCAATTTGTTATCCTCGTGAAAGCAGGTAACGTTAACAACTCCCTCGCAGGAGTAACGGCTCAATTCAGGGTTACACCTTTTGTTATATAGTTTTTTTTGTTTTTGTTTTTTTTGTAATGTAACTAAAAAGAAATTATTTTCGAAAAATAGTCAGACGGGGTAATGTGGTCACTATGTACTGCTCTCTATGGTACTTCAAGCGACGTCATGCTGCCAGATTAGAATCGACTGACAACGTTACAACATAACCTCTTTGTTTGGGACTTGGGAGGGACTGTCTGTGTGATAACCTTGTACTAAGATTCTTGTTCAAAATCTTTATGATTCCCGGAGGCTTTCTCGCTTCCGGCTCGCGGTAAAGTTATGAGTAAACTGATAAACGACCTGGAGATGTTTCCTTTGTATACATTCTGTCGGTAGAAGTCTCGAAAGGACCGGAGTATTAAACTGGAAGGAAGTTTCGGTCTGTTCTCCGTATAACTCTTTCATGGACCTACGCTGGCTTCAAAAGGAGCGTTCACTGTCTACCCACTCAAACATCACGTACGAAAATTGTATGTTGAAACCGAATAATTTTCCGCGCTTGAACGTCTCTTTATGTTTAATTGCTAGCATTTCTTTTTTTAAGTTGCCATCCTAGTTGTTCCGCGACGTATAGTCGCACAGTGGCTCGTTGGCAGTTGACCTAGCGGAGTGTTCGATATGCGTTCGTCCTATCCCGCGTTGATTTAAAGCGTCACATTGCCAGGTAGTTTAAACCGGTCAGAACGGTGTGACCGCACAGTAATATTTAACAAACATTTGTGCATTAAAAAAAATAATGTCTCGCGCAGAAAAAGAAAAAGAATATTTGAGTTGAATTTTATTTTCGGACTTTGTTAGAATCATGTATCACCGCACGACACGAACCTTTAATATTTTCTGACTCCTTCATTTAAACTATACTTAATACTTTCTCATGACTCCTTACTTGCGCAAGGCTGTCCATGTTTGAACTACATTATTTTAAAACGAACGATACCAGAGTGTTGAAGAAGTTTTCAACATATTTCTCGAAAGGGCCCTTTTTGCGCTTCCCAGGAGTTCCGGACGGATCTTTCCCAGGGAAATACGGCACTTTTACAAGACAAACGAAGGCTATCGACGGCGAAACAACGGAGGATCAGCAGAAAGCGAAAGGAGGTTAGGGAGAACAGATGTGCCGTATCTGTCACCCTCAACGCAGACGACTATGGGCAATAAATACGTCACATGCCGTTTCCTGTCTCTTCCGCTATTGGCACGCGGCGCCACCAGTCCTATCGGTTTATTGACTGCTTATATTCGTGCGGCAAGAAGTAATGTGTTTTGTATTTGATTGAAGTCAGCGTTGCGTGGGATCCTCTGCAATGCGTTTCAAATTTACCTTTGAGAGAGAAGAAACGTTCTTTCTTGTGCCAAGTTCGACTTTACATGGGTGTGGAGCGTTCGAGCGACCGTGAGTTCGAGAACCAACTTCAAGTTTGGGCCGTCGTGATTAAAACATGCGTCGAATTCGCGGCGTGTTAAATTCGCAGTATTTTTTTTTTTTTTTGTACGTTAAACGTGACTTTGCAGGTGCTGCTTTCATCCTCACTGTTCCTTTTATAAATTTGTTGTCAGTGATACCAGGTGTGGCTCTTGTCTACGAATTTTGTACTAAACGCGTACGTTTCGACCAAGCAGGCACACTGAGTCGAATGTTTATAACCTGCAAAAAATATCAGGTCACATAATTCTATCACACGCCGACATATCAGTTTATCGGCGCTTGTTTATGGGGAAAAATGTCTCAACTTTTTTGTTCAGATTTTTTATACAACAAAAACTGTATTTCCTTCTAAGAAAGAAAAAAAAAGTTTAAAGAAAAATAGCATTTTTTAAGGAAAACAAGGTTCACATTTTTGTTCGAAGGAGAAATTTTACGAGACTTCGTTCACTCATCTGAGCTGTGCGATCGTCAGACAAAAAACAAAAACAGAAACGTTTCGCTTTTATTAAGTTGACCCTGGTTTGTTCAACATCCTAAACAAACTAGTCTTCCCGTACAACACTAACGGTCTTCGTGCGTAAGCAACTGTAATTTTGATTGCTCTTTCAGTAGCAGCTGCTTTACTCGTGATTTTGTTTTTGTTTTTTGTTAAGAAACCAGCGACGTGGCACGCACCTCTGTCTTTGACAACCAACTCCAAATACTTTCCGTCGTCGCAATACGGCGTCTAAAACGTGAAACTTCGACTGTCTCCAATCGCTGCTTTCTAAAATTAGGCTACCAACATATTTCTACACATACACACAACTCCGGTCACAACCGACTCTAGGCAATTGTTTTTCAGTAATTCTCGCAAATCGCTTCTTTTTTTTTTCTTTCTCCCTTCTTAATGATTAGGAAAGAGATAGACTACTAGGTTTCGTGCTTGGCCTGAGTGACTTGTACAATTATTATTATTATTATTATTCTTAAGCGATCTCTGGGTAGTGTCTTTTTTTTTTTACACTCGTCAGTCTAAGGTGTGTGTCTACTAGGATGACGGCAGTAGCAATTGTAATAAAAAAAACATGAATAAATAACCGCACCAAATGAGTAAGGGGAGCGACAATAACAACAGCAAGAAAAGGTGGCGACAGACGGTGTAAGAGAGAATGTCGCTAACAAGAGAGAGGTTTGGGGGGAGAAGGAGGAGAGAAGAATGAAGTTAAAAACTAGAGGTAACAAAAAGTAGTAGCAGGTCTCAATTGACTTTACAACTTGCTTCTCTCCCTTTTTAACATTTTTGGTGTTTTTTTTTTTCTTCCTTTTCTTCAATGTTGAAATGGCAACTGTCTGAAGGAAAAAAAAAATTCAACGGACACACTGCAGTCAGCGGACACACTGTCTTACACTGCAGTTAGTGTTCACTTTTTGTATTGTGTTCTTTTTTTTTTTTCTTCGTCTTCTTCGTCATCGAGTTTCTAGAGTTCGAGGAGTAGCGGACTGTTCATCTTCGGCATCGGCGATTTCTTCCCTCTTTTTTTTATTAACTGCTGATTTGTTCACCATCACACTTTGCTTCTTTTTTTTTTTTCCTTTCATGGGTGGAAACACGGTGCCGACATGCACATTATGTGTCTCATCAAGCACACACGCACTCACATGTGCACTCACTCGTGGCTGGTAGCGACAGATAGCAAGAGATGCGCAGAGCTGAAAAATCGTGGAACACGTTGAATTGAGAGCCTTCCTTCTTTCTTCATTGTATAACACATCCGTCCCCTTCGACAGAAGCGACCGTGATGCATTCTTTTGCCCAGACACTTGGGATACGTGTTTGATCATGATCCGTCCCGTCCTTTTATAGACGTGACATTGCGACGTTGGCCGCTTTTCCCTCTTTCACTCAACGAGATGGAGAAAAAAAAAATTGCGCGAGGCGAAAAACGATGGACAGCATTCTGGCGTTCACACATTATTGTCGGGCGGAGTTTTCGAGAACTAAACGAATCGAAAAAAACCTGCCGACACTCCAACACGAGGACATCGCCTTACGAAACGGGTACCGTCCACAACACAAGAGGGGGGGAAGAGGGTGGGGGAGAAATAAAAACAACAACACGATAACTGAGCAGTGAGCCTTCCAAGCTGCATGTGCACTGTAGAATTGCAGGCGTCATTGTAAGTGTAAAATGTCTCGTAGTCAACTCCATTCGAAGCACCAGCCCTCACAACCTCGTAGACTGAAATGACCTAGTGCCGGATGTTCTGCGAGATGTCTACAGAACAGGGAAGCTGGGTATGAGACATTAGGCACATAATGAGGCCCACGGTTTCACTTCGTGGGTATTGGTCAAGGTTCACCGATACAAAAAAAGAAAAATTAACGACAGCTGTTGCTAGCACCTCTCTCGCTAGACATGACGGGGAGAAGCACCATCTTTAAAAAAGACGTCGAGAGTTTACAGAGAATGTGTCTGCCGGGAAGATCTTGCACCGAGGAAAAGCGTCTGTTTGCGACTGAGAAAACTCAGGCGACGATAGAAATAGACGGAGAAAAATAAACCTCGGCGTTTGTAAAAGCTGTGTTGGTCGGTCTACTATTATACTGCCAATCGTGTTCCTCGTGGCAGTGTTGCCCACAACAAACACTACAAAAACCTATTTCTTTGTACCAGTACTTATATACTTATACTTAACAAGGCCTGTGTTGATTCACAGGCATACGATTAAATCAAGTAGAAGTGCCAGGTAGCGTCCGATGAATCGTCAAGATCCTCTGTCATGTTAGCGTTGAGCAAAGTGTTTATACAAGCTGCAGGGCGTAATGCTTCCACACGCACCAGCTTTCAAGATGACCGTCAGCTGTGAGAGACATCACTACGTCGTCGCGATTTTTTTTTTTTCTTCTTTTTGCCGTTGCATAATTGCACTTTTCGTGCCGAGTGAGTGGAGCTCAAGGACAGTTTTCTACAGTACCTCAACATCGCAAATACCGCTCTCAGACGTGTGAACATACCGAGCACGACACTTGAGTGTGTCGTGTAGATGCGTATATATTCCTAAGCAAAATGTATGCATAACAACGCGCCTTCCCACCGCCTTTTCTTTACAAATACTAAAAATAAACATTGGACCTTCACTAGGTAAGTGAAAAAACGTCTTCGACACTGTCATGCAAAAATCGACAAATTTCACACACACTGTGAGGGTTGTACTGGGCCGCCCCACAAAAGACAAAAAAAAAAAAAAAAAGTACGATGTGACGTTGATTATCGTGAAGGAGCGTCGGCCAAGGTTTTTACGCCTTTGAGGGAAGATTGTGTACTTCTCGCCTATAACTCTCGAACCAAGCCGTGCCAGTGACGGTGAACCGTGTGGCTTTCTTCATCGAAGCTGCCTAGCACGCCGAGTGTCTCACGGTTTAGTCCGTACCCCGTGAAACGCAAAACGAAACGAAACGGATGTGAGCTCATGGTCGTGGAACACTTTTGGGCCTCGCGCGCCTTTCCTGGGGCTGAGGTTTCTGGATGTTGGAGCAGCGCTTTTCGCGCCGACGGCCGCACCGACGGGCCAGGGATAGGGCGGATCGGCGTTCTCGGATGGCTTGTGTGTTGGTCGGCCACGTCGATGATGCCCTCCTCGCGCCGGTGGCCGTCGGCTTGTCAAGCCAACGACGCCCTGGTCGGTTTTCATCACAGCGTTGAAATGCGAACCATGGGACCACCGCTGCCGGCGCCGCAGGAAGGACCACTAGCGACCGCAGCGCCACTGACCGTCGCAGCGGCCGTCGTCGCGGAGGAGGAACCGGCACCGTTGGTGTTGTTTGCGTCCGGCCCGCCGTCGGACGTGGCGGCGGACGCCGAAAAGTTGACCACGGCAGTGGTGACCGCCATGGGGGGCCCGCCGGCGTGCGACGAGGTCATGGTGGTCACGAGGGGTGCCGGGTTGTTTAGGCTCGACCGCGACATTGTGACGATGTGGTGTTGGGGCGGTGTCGGCTGCGGTTGGTGGTGGTCGCTAGGGGGCGTCCGGTTCGGCAGTCGCACCTGGATGTCGTTGAGCTCCTCCTCCTGATCCGAGGTGCCGCTACCCTGCTGCTGTGGCGACAAGAACATTTGGACGACAAACGTTAAGCTGGGCTTTGGGATTCGTTATTCATTCCTTTCTTAATTTGAGCAGGGGAAGGAGACAAGAGAGGGACCCTCGACTGCATCTCTGCAGAATGGCGGGAAAGCATAGATGCCCTTGTGTCTAGGTCTGGGGCTGCGATGACCGAAGCTGACACCAAACGCGGTTGGACAGACGCTCACCCTTGTATACCGGTCTCGGTAACTTGGCGGGTACACTGATTGATGCTAGTTTCCAAGCTTTGTTATTTTAGAGCGCAGCTCTTAGGGGCCCGTTTCCGGCTTGAGCGGCGTCGCCGTCGCCGTCGCCGTCGCCGTCGCCGTCGCCGTCGGCGTAACCGCGCGGTGCATTATGGGTAAAATTCCCCGCTAAATCTAGCGGAAAAATTTCCCCGCTAAATTCCGAAATATTCCCCGCTAAATTTAGCGGAAAAATTTCCCCGCTAAATCTAGCGGAAAATTTTCCCCGCTAGATTTAGCGGAAAAAATTCCCCGCTAAATCTAGCGGAAAAATTTCCCCGCTAAATCTAGCGGAAAAATTTCCCCGCTAAATCTAGCGGAAAAATTTCCCCGCTAGATTTAGCGGAAAAAATTCCCCGCTAAATCTAGCGGAAAAAATTCCCCGCTAAATTTAGCGGAAAAATTTCCCCGCTAAATCTAGCGGAAAAATTTCCCCGCTAAATCTAGCGGAAAATTTTCCCCGCTAGATTTAGCTGAAAAAATTCCACGCTAAATCTAGCGGAAAAAATTCCTCTAGCGGAAAAATTTCCCCGCTAAATCTAGCGGAAAATTTTCCCCGCTAAATCTAGCGGAAAATTTTCCCCGCTAAATCTAGCGGAAAAATTTTTCTGAGGGGTCACGTGACCCCCCAAGGCCACATGACCCCCCTCCCCCCCCCCCGCCCCGACAACAGGTAACCCTCTGTACCCTTCCCTCCTCCTCCTCAAGAGCTGCGCTCCAATTCGGTGTTACAGGGAGTTGTAAACGGCTTTCATTTTTATCTTTATTATTCATTTGTTTCCAAAGGCCAACCTACTTCATCGTGCATTGCTCATCCTTTCCGCAAAATAATTTGACTTCTATAATATTTCTACATTCACCATAAAAAGCTGCCTAGTTCTGCAAAGTTCGTAGGTTGCCAAATGATAGATTTATTTTAGGCCCAAACGAGCCTTATTTCAATGCGAAAGCAGTAACTGTCTCAAGGAGCGAGCCGACGTCATCAGCTTTGAAACCACGACCAACGGCTCTTAAATCATTCTCTCCAAGTCAAGCCAGCTCCCAGCTATCAAACTGTGACCACGCGCAAAGCTAGCCACGGCACGTTCACCGGTTCGATCCCGTTGCCTAGCGCGCGTCGACCAGGCTCTCATTCGCCGGACACGCAGCGCCATGGGGTGGCCGGTCGTTGAAACTGACGCTGGGCGTCAGTTTCAACGACCGGCCACCTTATGGCGCTGAGTGTCCGTCAGCACCAGTCAGCGCGCAAACGCGCGTAGAGCAAGAATGATGCACATGCTTTCGCATTCACAACTCATAACTGCTCAGGTGTACCTCGATCTTTTTTACTACAATGACATTTTAAAATACGCTTTCTTAGGCTAAATAGTACAAACCACCCTACAAATTGCCTTAAACACACATTTCTTAATTAGAGTATAATATTACTTATAAATAATAGTACTGTATTTGAACCTCGCTTTGTTATTATGCAAATTGGGATTATCCGCCACGGAATTTACGCAACAATTCCGTAGTGGTCACCTATATTTTTCTTCATTTGTAATTCCTAAAAATAGATTGGACGTGTTCTCATATTTCCATGTCTTTTTTATATATTTTTTTTTTCACCCAGCATTGCTTCAGTCTTTGTAAAACTTATGAATCGTTCTTTGTTTGTAATGTAGAAAATAACTCCGTTCAGACTGCTGCGTTATTAATGTATTTTGTATCCGGTAAGCTAACTAAGTAAATTAATTTACCGCAGTACATTTCCTTACTTTTACGAGAGGTTTACCCTTGCTGACTTCTGTAGTAGGGTGTTTCCTAGCGTTTTCCTTTGAGCTACACCACAACGTAGCACCGGTGTCGAATGTGCATCTTCCGCGCGGTTCGTGAAAAACTATTTCCGATGATGTCAGCTGTTCAAAGTGAAAATGTACAACCCCTGCTATTTTCATATAAAAAAATATCCAGAGCGATATATTCGTAAATTTCTCCCGCGTGCTCCAGTCGTAACACTGTGGAAGGCATAGAAACCAGCGTGCGAAATTTACGAGTGTTTTCGGTAGAAAAGGGTGCTAGACCATGGGAGCTTACCGATCTCCTCGTTTTGAGCTCCTAATTCGAACTTTCCAAACTTGGAGCTATCGGTGTTAACAGTTATTTTTGGTAATACTGACTTCTTACCTCAAGGTAGTTCATACTGCAGTTAACAATAAACAGAAGGTACGCTGTGGGAACTCTAAGACTGTCAATTACAAAGATGTGCAATTGAACATGTGATGCGATCTCTACGGTCAGTTCAAAGGTGCACTATGTTTGTTCCCGCCATTCTATTAAAGACGCTAATTGATTTTGCAGAAAAAGAGCTCCTTCTTAAGGGGATCTATTTCAGGCTGATCGATGATTCGGGCTTTTCTCGTAAAGGGTACATTCACCAGTGTCAACTGCACCTGTAAAGTACAATAACAAAATGCTTAGAAACTACAAAAAAAAAAAGAACATACATATTTTTTTTTGTAACGACAAGGGGCAGCATTCCAGATAAAAATAAAAAATAAGAAGAGACAAACAGGGTCTTTCTTAATGTCAGGCTTGCCAGGGAATGAAGGACAGCATGCTCGACTCTATCCCCCGACTACTGGTGACCTAATGGGTTAAAACTATGCCACAGCAGCAAGAAAGAAAAAAACAATAAAAACAAAGCAGCTCTCGGGAAGAGGAGGAAGACCCTGGGAAGGCTCCGAACATGCCTTCTGTTAGGGGAGAATCGAGTTACACTAGTATAGCATCGGTAATGTGTGCCAGTAATAGTTTTGGCAATCGGAAACGTCCACCACCAATCTTCAGTATCTGGGATAGGGGGGTTACGAACGATGCAGGATGAATAGAAAGATGAGGATAAAAAAATAATAACATGACAGAGAAGGAGAGAGGAAAACGGACACGATGGTTTCAGTGACCCGAAGTGGACACTTCCGGTGCAGAGATGGACATTACATAGAGGCATGCGATACGGGGACGGCCGCTTGGTGGATCAGTCACTTCTAAGAAAGTGTGCGGGTGACCGAATTGTACGTCTTGACAGGTGCAGTGATGAGCGATGTAGTTCCGAATTTTTTTTATTTTTTTTTTATTTTTACATATAGACGTAAAAATCTCAAGTTATTATTTATGTTTTCAGTGGTTTCCAAATTATGGTAGTTATGTTTTTATTTACAAGCTCTGAGCTCTCTTTTCAGTTGAACTGAGCATTCGTTTAAGCTTAAAGTCGCACGATCTGAGCTCACATACATTTTGGGCACTACTTCGGATATATTTTGTGCTCTACGTGGAGCAAGAGACGATCTGTCTTTACCAAGCTTTAGGTGAAAAGTTCAGGTTGATTGTCCTTTCCAGATTAGGGTGGCATTTCTATCAAGCTTAATACGTATGACAAGTGGCTTGCATGAATCAACATTCGAGGATCGCAGATTTGATTCCGGCAACAACAGTAAATTAACGTATAAGTGCGCAGCGTAGAAAAATTCCCAAGGTAAATTTGTCGCAATTTACGATTCAGGAAGGTGACGAGTCGCTGTAAAAAGATGCAGGCAACGCATGCATTCCAACAAACGTGCAGTTGTCAGGCCAGGCCCAGGAACGGACATAGAGAGAACAGACGTCACCACCAAGAACGCCAGTCAACACATGCAGTCTTGATTCGGGTCGGCAAAAAGTATAGGTGCCGTTTTATCCAATAAAATCACAGTTACAGCAAGGTTTACAAAACATTATGTCAAGAACAGCAGTATGATGCTCGAGTCCCAGGGTTTATAAACTGTTGACTCAAAGGTATAGAAGTCGTGGCTTAAAAAAATCTTAACTACAACAAACTTTAAAAATGGCGCTTATAATTTATAGGCTACGTCGCGATGACACATGTAAACCATAGCTGTAAAATTTCTCAAGAAAAGCAATAAATGTTACAGGTAGTCGAGATCAAATTGAACCAACTTAGAACTCCTTTTTTACACTTAAAAACATGTATTTGCAGTTACTCCTTAGGATTAACCATCTCGCCATGTCCAGCCTATGGCTGCGTTAATTTCCTACCCAAGGTTCCGTTTCAGATGAAGAAAATATTTCCGTCCAGTTTTAATTCTGCAGACCCCGTACGTATAGTACTCATTTTATTGTAACTAAATAGAAAAAACAGACTTAAAAAATCACAAAGTTAACTAATTTCAAATAACTTTAGCTTGTATCTTTCCAGGTTCGCTTCGAAGGCCGCGATGGGAACCCAATGCCTGGTAGTGCAGCACCTGTCGTCATGATCCAATCACGAACGCGCTACAACCTCCTGCCGTCGTCGTTATAAGGCGTCGTTATAAGGCGTCGTTAAGCGAACCAGTCCTCATCGCGTATTCCAGCGGGTCTCTATTACCCCGCAACGAGTCAATTCAGTGGGACTGTCACGTCGCAGGCCGGAAGCGCAGCTATCTCCACTCTCCAATGATCGCCACGGTCACCTAAGCTTCTGGCATCGCGCAATAAAACCCTCACCGCACATTTCACACCCGAGGAATGATATCCGAAGATAATTCGCGCAAGCCGATTCCACCCGTGCATACGGACAATGAGAGCGCGCGCAACTCATAATCAGGGAATATCGAAAGCAAAGATAACCGCGTCGTATTTATAGATATATAATACACCCTCATTAGAGATGCGCGAGTGGTTTTGGCGCTCCATATTGACGAAATCAT